ACTATATGTCTCTAAATCCATCTGAATGTGCAATTTCCAACTCCTGATTAGCACCAGGAGCCCAGTCAAGGATGACAGAACAGCATCCAATTCTGTTTATCTCTACTGCAATAAAAACAGTCAAAAGCTGCATACGGGCCATCCTACAGCTTAAGTCTCTTCAGGAAAAACTGCTTGTAAACATGTTATATCACAGGGGTTATAGATGGCAATTTAAAAAAACCCAAACCTTTCTAAGATGAATTACAGCAAAATACATAACCCACAGAGAATGGACTGACTTCAGTGTCAGTTTCTGTGGACAGATTCCCCACAAGTTGCTGGGTAGAAAGTGCCACCAGATATTTGTAACAGTTCCAATCCCAGAGCAAGATGCTTTCTTGATTCCAAGGACACAGTGCATATATTGATTTAAATTTTCCCTATTCTCCCTGAGCAAGTCAGAAATTGCACTGAGTTGGATGTGTGACAGTGAGAGTGTTCAGACAAATTAGTGGGCTGGGGTTAAGCCATACACTGTCTGTGTCCAAAATGCCCTATCAAGGAACTCAGAGGATTATTTTCTGAGGAGTGTCAGCTACTCTTGCAGTGCTGATTTAATACAAAAATGTCTGCACCAACTCTGCCCTAATCCCTACTCTTCCTTCTTATGCTTTACTGCATTCTCCTCCATCAGCTCTTCCTACCAGAATGTGATTCCACTCTTTCAAACACTTTTTGGTTTGATTCACTTTGTCTCATAGAGTATTTATCTTCTTCCTATTTCTGATTGCCACTGATGTCCTTTCTCCTAGAAGATATATTCATCTATTCATATATTCACTATTTTTTCAGATTTTATTTATATCAGGTTGGTAGAAAAATATAATAAATTACTGTGACTCAGGAGAGCTCACAGGAATAAATTGTCAAAGGCTTTTAATAAAATTATGCTGGTTTCTAAGGCAGGGTCTTTGTAAACAAAGGCATTGCACCAGAATAAAACTTTCCTGTCTAAGCTCTGACAACAGGTCTTGAGGGTGCCATGCTTTGCTTACACCAATCTTGAACATGGATAGATCATTGGTTTTTCCCAAACTCTGCCTGTCTGTAAGGAAGTTTTCATGGTCAGTGTTGCAATCAGCCCAAACCCCATGTACTCATTGCTCCTCATCCAGATTTTGTCCCAGTCAGGACAAAGAGAAGAGGGAACTCCCACAGTGGTGCTTTACCTCCCCCAAAACACTTCCCTTTGAAAAGCAGAGCTGTAAAAAAAACCAAAGAAACAAACAAACAAACAAGCAAACAAAAAACCAATAAAACAAACAAAAAAAAATCAGTCAATCAATCCTGATTAATCTAAACCTTCAACCCCAAACCAATCTATCTTGGAGGTGTGACCTGCCAGCTGGTGGGACTCCTGAAGTTCAGAGCAAGTGTCCTCAGGTCCCAGCTATTTTGCATGTTTGAATTAGGGGGTAGATAGTTCACCTGAGACTGCAGCTAATTTTTTTAAACTCTTCATTAATTTGAATCCTAACTCACACATCTTGTTGTAAATTGAATGCATTATCTCCTTTTTCCACCACATGCTATTATATAGGTACTTCTTGGGTAAGAAATTGTCTCTATTAGCATTTCTCTCATGCAGAACAAGCATTCTGTCAGTGTTGGGAGCTCTTTTTTACTACAGGTCTCAAATGTGAATTGAATTTTATATAAATTTCATGCTGTGACTTAAATTATCTCCCTTGAAGAATGACTACCTGTAACACTCCTTTTAGTAGAGAGTCCTCAAAGAATCTCAACTATGGTACTTGGTAGCGGAGTTAAAAATCAAGAAGCAGGTTTTAGGTGAAAGAAAATTTTATCCAAAGCATTTGTCACAGTAATTTCAGCTGTTTCCATCGTGAGGATGAAGGCTAGCTATGATTTTTTTAGAGTTCCAGGTATTTCTGATGTTCTACATTACTAAATATCAGTTCCCAGGTGTGAAACTTGGCATGAAGTTGTTAAATCCTTCTGCTTTTGCAAGCTGCTTCAGAATATCCTTCACATGTAAGGAAGGATAATTTTGGAAATCCAATCAGCAACACCTATGACTGTATTTTTTGTATCTCATATGCCTGCAGAAGACATAGGAGAAGCCCAGGAGAATATTACATGAATTGTTATTACTGCCCAGGATTTCCCTCCCCCAGAGAATTGCTGCCGTCTCACCACAGATGCCCTTTAATAGTTTTGTTCCCTGAAATCCCTCTTTTGAAAATTAACATAGACCAATAACTTCTGTCTTCTTCTTCCTGAAGGGGAGGGAAACTGAAAAGGCAGTTGCAGGTGTGTGCACTAGGAAATGAGCACTTTGCAAAAGGTTTTTTCAAAAAGCTTTTATCATGTTAACTGGCACAGCACCCAGAGCAGAGTCACAATCATGTTCCCTGTTAAAGAGAATTGACTTAATTCATTTTCATGTTGTGACCTGCAACAGTTTAATTTACCTGAGAGCATTCTTCCTGTCAATACAGGCTGGATGGAAACATGATAACTTCAGGTTATGTTAAGTGTCTGATTTGTGATGCAGTTTACCTCTGCAATGACTGCACTGTTCAAATTAATTAATACCAGATCATTATCTTTAGAAGGCAGGCAGATGTTGAGGTTATGGTGTTTGTGAACCCTAAGCCTGTCTTTTTTTTCTGTACAGATAACCATCAGTTGCTGTATAAATTGGAGAGCCAAGGTCTAGGCCTTCTGGCAGTCAATTGGTTTTGTAATTATCTTAGTAATAGTCCTCAATTATTATTCAGTAAAGGTCATCTTTTCTCTGCTAATGGGTCACCGGCACCCCCTAGGGATCCAGAGATGGGCCAGTTCTCCTTTTTATCATGTAAATGACTTGCCATCTGTGTGCCACCCAGGTTCATCTAAGGCAGTTCTGAAAACACTGATTATTAATATCAATGCTGCAGATTCTGACAGGATTGTAGAATTATTTTAGAATATTTTTAAAGATGGGCTGTGTTTCCTGAAATTTTCAAGACTCTATTAAATGCCGTGGACAGCTTAGTGGCAATTGTCTTCAAGTAATGCAGTGATTAAAAATACAAACTTTTATTTTAACTAGTGGCATTTTTAGTTAACAAACCCTGACACCCTTATTTCCAGCCTCTGTCTGCCTTCATTTGTGTCCCATTGTATTTACTTCTGCTATGTGATTGCCTGGGGGAAGTTAAATTACCAACCATAGATATTACACTTGCACAAAACTTCTTTATTCCCTTCTGTAGATCATGTTTACATTGCAGGCTGTGCTGAAAGTGAATAAAATGAAAAAGTCATCATTTGTTTCTACTCTATTGTAATAGCCATGCTGTAATTGGTGCTGTTTCATATAAAATTACCATATAAATTGTGCCATCCAAAGCTGCAACAGAAAGAGCAACAGTATTTACAATAAATGGCAAATCCCTGTTAATTATTGATAGCCTAATAAACACACCATTATAATTCAGTCTTATTATTCATTATTAATAATAACTCTTATTTACTATTCATTGTGTAAGGATCAATTATGATTAACTTTTCTAAAAATGAATGGTCCACATGGATGTTTCTATTTTCAGGGCTTTTTCCATTGAGGGAAAGGCTTTCTGTATTAGAATTCTCAGTCCAAGAGGACAGAACATTGCTGTACTCAAACAGCTTTTCTTGTTCCTGGTGTCCATGAAAAGCTGCTATGAGCTCTGTCAGAAGGAGTTACTGATTTTAATCATTAAATTATGTCTCTTTGGAGGTCATTACTTGGCCCAAAGGTGTGTGACTTTTGACCTAGGATGTTCTTGGCCACCTGGGCACACAGCAGTTTACCTTTAATAGTAATGAAGCTTTGCTTTACTGCTTAGCAATGTTGGGGCCTCTTTTTAAAATAAACTCTGCCAAAAATTCATTGAGGCATCATCATAAATCTTGGTGGTTTCGCAGCTTAATTTTTGGTGGGGAAGAAGGCTGAATTCCAGGCATTCCAATGACAATGTGTCCCTGTGTCGATCTGCAGAACGACCATCAGGTGTCATGTGAATGAAGATATCTTCTCCAGAAATGATTGATTTATTGAGCCTTTGGCCTTATTGTACTTTTTATGTCGATGTAACCAGACCAGTCTTTCTAGACTGCATTGCCAGAGTCAAGACTTTTACCTTCTGGTGTTGGTAGTGTCGCTGCTGGCTGTAGGAAGGACAGTACTACAAGTACTGATAGCCAACACTACTCACTTTTCCTACCAGGCTTTTGGTTTTCTGACCTCTCTTCCAAGCATAACTCAACTGACAGTTGCCACTAAGAAATAGCACTAGAATATTGATTTCTTACAATGCTGACCAAATGCTGTCCTACTTTTTTTATATTTTGCTTTGTCACTCATTTCAGGTTTTTGATGCACAGTAACTCCACCATATCTCCTGTTAGATGTTAAATGCTGCAAGTTCAATCTGAGATGCACTGAGACAAGAAGTCACTGCCCACCAGTGCTTCTGGGGTGTGCCCTGAGTGTGCCACACATGGAAGTGCCTTGAAGTTTTCACAGTGTATGAATATGGGGCAGGAGGATGATCACTGCATGCCAAGGTGAGTCCTTCCTTCAGATGTGACTGGATTTCACACTGATTTATCAGTGGGGGTTTAAAATGCACTGTCTGCAGGCAGCATACTTGAGTTATCCAGAGTTTCTTGGCACAAAGGAGTTTCTGCATATGCAGTTTTTGTTTGACAAGGGTTCTCCACTGTCTTTCCCTCACTGCCCACTTCAGAATTCAAAATATCTGTAAAATGCTCTGTGTTTTTCCATGATGTGCCAGTTCCTACCAGCTGTGATTTTCCAATACAGTGATGCACTATAAGGCAGCCAACTGACTTGTAAAAGGATATGAGTTTGTGTGCCAAGCAGAATTTAGCATAATGTTTCAACTGCAAATATAAAACACAGTTTCAGAGAAGGAAGAGAAGAAATTCAAAACATACATAAATACGATATGTATAAATATTTTTTATTTTGTTTCAAATAATGTCTTACTCTGCTGTGTGTATGGCATCTGAGACACACTGAATATTTTTAGCACATAAGAAATAATTCACTTAGTTTATGGACACAAAGCAGCGTATAAACCACATAGCTCAATAAACACTTTGTTTCCAATTCTTATGTGCATTACTCTGTGACATATCTGGAATTATTCCAGAAATTCATATCAAGGGAAGTCCTGCCAGTAGACTGAAGTTAAAACAGAAGCCTTGGGTAACTCGTGGCACCTTTACCAGCAGTGCAGGAAGAGCGTGGTTTAACACCACACCTGTGCCTCATGTTCACACCTCTCCTCAAGCTGTGCAAGGCCACACCAAAGTGTCACTGCTTAGCACTGCTCCCATTGCCCAGGGGAGGCTGCACAAGTCACACCTCCATATTGAGGTGTTGACACGTCTTAAATAAGAGCAGAATTTGCTCTCTCTTTAACTGGTCAGTGCCCTTTGCACGGCGTCCTTAGGCAGCTCTCCCAACTCCTCGTGAGGTAATTATATATTGATCTTGCCCCTTTTACAGATGAAAATGCTCACGCTGTGTTTCAAGAAAGGATCACTTTTTCATGGTGTCATGGTTCAACCCCGGCCAGCAATTCAGCTTCACAGATCTGCTGCTCACTGCTCCCCAGCGGGACTGAGGAGAGAACCAGAAAAGTGACAGGCAGAAAACACGTGGGTTGAGATAAAGACACTTTAGCAGGGAAAATAATAGCACACAGTGCAAAGCAAAGCATGGAATTCATTCCCCACCTCCCATGCCCAGGCAGGTGTGCAGCTATCCCCAGGAAAGCTGGGATCCATCACCCCTGAGGGTGGCTGGGGAACACAAACCATCCCTCTGAATGTGCCCCTTCTGCTTCTCCCCCAGCTGAGTGTGACCCCACTGGGGATGGGACAGGAATGGGGATGGGAATAGGGATGGGAACTGGTAGTGGGAACTGGGAATGGGAAACATGGAATGGAAAACTGGGAATGGAGATGGGAACTGGGACACCCTTAGGTCACTTGGGGTCAGCTGTGTCCTCTCCCAAATCCCTGTGCCCCCAGCCCCCTTGCGACTGGGGTTAAGGAGCAGAAAAGGCCCTGACAGTGTAAGTTCTGCTCAGCCATAGCTAAAACATCCCTGTGCTATCAACACTTTCCAGCATGAATCCAAAACACAGCCCCATGTCAGCTCTATGAGGAAAATTAGCTCTATCCCAGGCAAAAGCAGTACACAGTCTGTTACTCCACTTGATATCATTTTCTAATTAAGGTATAATTAATGTATAATGCAGTAGAAATACTAGGTAGGAGTGAAATTGTGACCATCTACTGTTATTGAAAATGTTCTATGAACCCCATTACGCCATTGTAAAGTTATTCTCTAAATGTCAGTGATGTGAGGAGCACAAACAAGAAGCCACTGTTATTAGACATGCTTTTATTATGCAGCCTAACTGAAAGCAATATTGTGTTTAAGAATAAGCAGGGAAGTAAAATATGAGGGATTTTGATCACAGAGAAATCAGTTTTACCATGTGCTGTAAATATAACTGAGGCAGCAGCGTGCCTACTTTTCAGAAGCCAGAATATGAACAAAACGAAGGGAGGAATATCATGAATCATAATTTGCTGAAAATGCAAACTATTCAATGCATTTTGTCTTTTCTTTTACATTTTTTTCTTTGTTTTGTTTTGTTTTTAAGTAAGGTAATATACATATTTTGATCATTTTGCTGGAACCTCAAAACATAGAAATCAGCACCAATGAGACTTGAAAGCTCCATCAAATGCCTGCTGAAAAGTGTCTGTTGCTGGCGCAACTGCAAGAGCTTTTGCTATTTTTTCAACTAACATTTGCAGCATTTCCCACCTAGTGCAGGAAATGGTGGCTGCTTGCATAAACATATATTTGAGGCTTAAAAGAGCCAACTTTGAAGTTAGTCCAACTGTTGGTGTTTATAGAGGAATGAGTGTGTCAGGAGAGAAGCTGCCTGTCCATCAGCTCGCTGTGGCAAATCTGCCTTTGAGTTCAGTGAGACAAGAGTTAAACTTTCACTCCCCTCGCAGCTAAAATACAGCTCTGGTGCAGTGCACTCCTGCACCGTCCTCCACGCTGCCTTTTGTGTATGGTATAATTATCAGATTCATTATAATAACTCTTGCATATAAGTATTGTACTTACCCGAGGGCAGCCTGGGAGATTTTATATTTGCAAGCCTCATTTTATTCTTCTGTAATAAAACTCTACACTGAACATAGGGTGGCACCAGGCAAACATCAAAATGTGTAATATTTAGTAGATAGAGGATGAAGACTGTGATATACTCCTGCAGAGAAATGAAGACTGGTAGATTGAAGGCAACTAAATTAATTAAGCCAAATACATAATTATTTGGCAATTTAATTATTAGAAATTCAATGAATATTTTCTTATTTATCAGATTAAACAATAATTAAATTAGCCTTCATAACAGGAAAATGAGACAAAAGTTTTTCTTTAATTTTACATTCTGACTTAAGGTTTTCATGTAAGCAGATTTTGCTAACCTGGGAATGCAGAACTGTGCAATCTCTGGGAAAATAGCAGCACCAAGGAAGTTATACTTTAGTTTTTTACAACAGAGATATGTTCAATAACCAGGTCAGCTTTCCTAGGAGAAAAGAAAGCAAATAAACCCAGCCTCCCACCCGAATTTAATTTGATGCAGATGAATGAAATATCAGCAGGCTTTTGGCCCTAAGTGAAAAAGGGAACAATGAAAGGTAGTTCTTTTTGTTGGGAGATAATTTTTTGTTATCTTACACTTCTAAGATTTGAAGCCTGCCTGAAAAAAAAAAAAATTGGAATACAAATATAGGTCTTTTTTTTTAGAAATTTTTTTTTTCATTTATATGAACACAGGAAGCTCGGGAATATCTCATTTTATTGCTTTTGTGCTTATAGGAAAGAAAAATCAGTAACTTTATGTGTTGTATTCCTGTGCCATATACTAGATTAATAGAAGCAGAAGATCATTATCCAGGCTAAATTTTAACCCATTCTCAGTGCAGTCCTTTGGGCCTGTCTCACTGCGGACTCTCCTGTAATGTATAGTATTAATTTGAGTCTAAACCTCTGGTTTTAATGATGTTGTCTTTCTGAACCATGGGCTGTAGAGTGCTGAATACCAAACATTGTTCAGTACACCCTGATGTGAAATATTTCCCTCTCTGGCAGCTGTGCCACATGATAAGTGTTCGAAAAATGCACGGATGAGGTGCTTGGGCAAATGGTTTAGTGGTGGGCCTGGTCTTGTAAGGTTGATAACTGGTCTTGATGCCCTTAGAGGTCTTTTCCAAGCTTAAGGATTCAATAATTCTCATCTGGAACCTGCACGTGCCCCTTCGCAGGAAACTGAGTACAAAACTTGTGCTTTTCCAGCCCCTGTGTCTGTGCTGGTCCCTCTCTTCTCAGCCAAAGTGGCTTTCCCTGGGTGAGCTGTCAAGGAGAGCGTGGCCCCAGTGCTGCTCCCCCCCTCTTCCTGCTCTGCTCTCACCTCAGAGCAAGGACAGCCACCCCTGAGGGTCCCACGTTTTGGGGGAGATCAGGGAGGTCACGGAGAATGTGGCGTTAAGGCAGGTGGGAGCTGAGAGGAAGAACTGCAATGGCAGGAGCTCTGCTAGAGGGGGGCCAGGAGCTGGAGGGAGTGGAGAAGCATAGAGGGGATATTTTATTCTGAAAAGCCCAGTTATTGCATGTACAGAAGGTGTCACAACACTGGGATGTGCTCTGGTGTATTTTCTAATCTTCATAGTGAGAAGGAATCAAACTAATCCCCATTCAGTGCTGGCAGGATGGAAGTGCCTCCAGCAGCCAGTGCAAGGCACTGAGGAGGGAAACAGCAAAAAGCCTTAAAATGCTTATCTAACCCTGTAATGAGCTCATCCACTGCCCCAGGCCGTTCTAGGAAGGCAGGTACACCCAGCACTTGGCACCATGGCTGGCTGCACTCGCTGGGGGAGCTTCATAACACTGACAAATGGCCTGGAGGGTTTCCTTAACCAACAGCATGAATGATAGCAGAGCTAATGTACACTCTGCAACACTCTGCGCTGTATTTTGGGGTTTTTAGTGGTGTAGCCAAAGTGTAAAAATGGATGCAGAGCTTTTAAAACTTCCCAATAAAGAGAAAAGATTGTTTGAAGCCATGGAAGCTGCATATCCACTGGCACAGCAACCAATGCAGTTTGCTTCTCCAGTAGTGCCCTCAAGTACCTTTAGATATTCATATATAAAATGTAAGTACATAACCTGCTGTAAAAAGTTACAGCAGTGCCCTTGGCGAGCTTCCCTGGCCTGTGGAGGGTAATTACATGTGGAACACAAACACAGCTCGAAAATTGACCTCATTAGATATTCAGCTTTTTCTCATACGAGTGCTGTGAGATCTGTCCATGCTAATAAGAGTATTTGTTGTATCTTGATGGAGAATTTTGACTTTGTAACTTAATCAGAGCTCACTAGGCAAACAAAAAAAAAAAAAGAGAAGATGCTTTTCCCATCAATTCCAAGAAGGATTTAGATCCATACAAAGCCTTGCCAGCCTCCAATTCAGACTGCTATTGGAGGTGAGTAAACCAGAAGGAACAGCTTGTTCTGGATGGAAATGAATCTGCAGCAAAGGCCAGCTTGGAAATATAGCTTTGTGTTTCAGCCAAAAATCAGACAGAAATGGTCACAGCTGAAATGTTACATCAGGCCCTGGTAACTGCTCACAACAAACCACACAACTGCTTAGGAAGGCATGACTTCAAATCTATTTCTATCAGGTAAATTTATGAATGCTCCTGGGTCATTCTCATGAGTGCCATGGTTCCCACAAGTACCTGTATAAAATGGAAAAAAAAAAGAAAAAAAAAAAAAAGACATCTGCATTTTTAACAGGCTTTCAAAATGTTTTGAGATAATTTTGTGATTGGGGGTTTTTAGGCATTTGTCTATGCTTTTAATCAAATTATGAGATTTATGCTGATAGATCACCCTCTTTGTCTGTCCATATCAAATGGCTAATACTAAGCTAATCAGAAGTGTTTATTAGAAATGGCTTGTGCTAGAATTATGAGTTCCCAATTTTTTAAATGGAAATATAGAAATTCTGATAAAAACTTTAAAGCAGCTAGATTGCTTCTGTTCAGGAGGACCTTACTAAGGAGTTTATAAGAGAAGATTATTGAGAAGAGGAAAAACAGATCCCACAAATAATCAACCCAGGTGTGGAGGAATGAAGTTCAAGTACCATTTCTGCAGACAGAGTTTGGCACATAGTCAGAGAAAGAAAATACAATTATAAATTACAAAAATTACTGGCTAAGAAAATGAACAATTTGATACATATTTACTGTTTAAAAATTGAGGTGCAATATTTGTAGTTAAACATTTATATAAATGAAAGCTGTGTGTATATTTCTGTACGAGTGATGAAGGTGACCCTAATTTAGTTCATTCAAAAAAAAAAAAAAAAAGAAAGAAACGTTTAAATATGTAAATCATAGATGAGCTAAATTTAGGGAGGGTTATCAAAAATGTCTGTTGTCTTTGAACATGAACATATGCTCACTATGCTAATTCTGTAGGATCCTTAGATCAAATGCTGGCATGTTTCAGTGTTTTGCATTGCTTTAAATTTTGACTTCAGATTTCATAATTTTCTTTATTTTAAGGTTATATTAGGGTTGGTTTTTTTTTTTTTTTTGTTCCAGTTACCAAATGCCAAATTAAGAAGGATTATCTGAAGGAAGCAATTTCCCTGTGTTCCTCTGTTAGCCTTGAGAAGTTGCATCTTGCTGGACACTGCACTGAAAGCAGTCCAGAAGAATGTGAGACCAGAATCTTTTTTAAAGGTGTAAATATGTCCCTAAAATAATGAAAGTTCCATTTTCACGCTTTTTTTTTCATTTAGGTGCCCAGGAAGGGAACTGGCAAGGCATTTAGCTCAAACCATACTTTTAGTATAAAGAGATAACATTAACTCAAGGATCTCTGCTGATCATTAGTCTGGTTGTTCTTTAATGTGCTTGAATTTTGTTTACCAGAATACAGTGTGAGATAAATGGCAGACACATCTGGGAAGAGACACTGGAAGTGTTCATTCATTGCTCACCTCTCTCTCTTGGCTGATCCACAGAGTGAGTATTCATTAAATCCTTATCTCCAAGCTGTCCTGTATGGCTGAATCCCAGCAGAGGAGAACAGGTCACTAAGAGATATTGTAAAACTGCTGCCTTGTGTTTGAAGAATAAAAACCACAGGAGGTTCTACATGTTGTAGCATGAATCCCCACTTTCTTTATTTTTTATGGAGTAGACATTGGGTTTTTTTGGGGTTTTTTTTGCCTTGTCCACACTCTGCTCCTATATGGTTCTTGGAATGTTCCACAATACCTCCAATGATACATTGTGGGAACTGGTAAAAAACCTGGAACAATGTTGTGAAAAGATATCAAAATATTTCACTTAAGAAAAAATGTTCTGATTCTTCATACTTTTTCAGATGATGGTATTTTGACCTTTTGGAAGAAAAGGTCTAAAATATTTGCTCTTTGAATGAAATGACTAATAGGGATTTTACAGTTTTCCTAGGTAAACTGTCCTGCTGGCTACCTATCTGTGATAAACTCCTTTGAATTTGAATTTGTTAGCATTAGCTTCTAGCCATTGCATGAAATTAAACAATATTCTACCCTTTATACCAACCATAAAAATGAGCATTCTTCTGAAAATTTTACAAGAAGAGTTTGCAAAATCAGCCAGGCTACTGGTTATCGTGGCAGTGTTTCAAATCTTAAAGCATTTACAATGATTTTGGTACCAGAGACAATGGCTATCAGGAGTTATGGTGAAGCATGGTCTTGTAGGGCAGTCTTGTCGCCAACCCATGTGCAAACAAAATAAAACAAATAAGCTTCAGCATCTCCAATTAAACTCAACTCTGGTGTTCTGTTGTCCTTTAAAACAATTTGGCGAACACTCACTAGCATGGGGTTGGGATTTTTACTCCACTAAGAGCCAGTCAATGTTCTTGGACTTAGGTTGTACTCTAATCTTGGGTGCTTGAAGAACGTAAAGAGAGCTGAGGGAGATTTGTGGGGAATGACTTGGCATTTCTCCATTACTGCTAATAGGATTAGGAAAGTGATGAATTGTCACTGGAGATTTTGATATCTCCTAATAAAGACAATCTGCAAGCAATACTTGCAAGCAGCTGTTGCTATTTATGGTGCAAGTCTGTTTGGCTGGCAGAGCTGTTTGATTCCCAGCACTCAGAGCCTCCACTCCCTTTTTTCCAGGCTGAGCCATCCAGGTTTGTCATCCTGCCTGGATCCAGCAGCAGCTTTGCAGGAGTCAGAAGCCACAGGAGCCAAATCCCAAAGTTGGGATGGATGTCCACTTTTAATAAGAAGGAGAAAACAAAGGAGGAAGGAGGATTGTCACAGGTTTTTAGTCTCAAATGCTTTCTAAACTGATCAAACTGCTTGGGTAAGTGACACCTGTCCAGGTGATTGTCCCCAGGCCGAGGGTCAGTCTGAGTTGAGAGGGTTCAGATGTGTTATTTTATTGTCTCTGTTTGTACCATGTCGATTTCTCTCTTGGGGTTCCTAGGTCAGGGTGACCCCAAGAGATTTAAAAGAGTCTTTGCTTCCCTTAGCCTGACACAGCCAAAGGAGGAGTCTGGAATGTTTCCAGTTGCGCTTTCAAGGTTTTTTATTTCTTCTTATCTCAATGTTCTTTCTCTGACCTGACGAGGTCTCGCTATCAAGGAAGCCAAGACCATCTGACCTCGAGCCTGGGAGGCTTCCACTTTGTGTACTCAAATGTACATGTCTGTGTTTACAATTTCTTCACCAATTTCTATCATCTATTAGACTGTGAATCTTTACCTTAAACCAATAGAAAAGTGTCACCGTCACACCAAGACATGGAGGACCAGGAGAAGGAGAAGAAGGTCAGGACACGCCCAAATTCCTTCATCTTGTACCCCCTTGAACTCCATTCTAAAAATCCAAAAATTCTACTTTTTCACCTTCTGTTAGTTCAAATATCACACTACTAAAACCCTTATGACTTGTAATTCCTCATACAAAGTTGGCAGTTTTTTCCAAGTGCTGAAATCAAAGCCACAGGGGTTTTTGACTTCATGCCAAGGTCTCTGAGACTCCTGCAAGGGTCTTAAGACAGCCAGGGCAGCCAGAGGGATGTGCTGGACTCTGCCAGTACCACTTTGCTCCTGGTTTACTCATGGTGTGACACTTAACTAATTAGCTAAATAATGTGGCTGCATGTCCAAAGTTTTTGAAGTTTCTCACAAAACCAGAATTTAATGAGATTTAAATTATTTTTGTTGTCAAATTTTGTTCACTGATAAAAGATATGATGAGACGGAGATTTATACCTGTTCACTGTCTGTGAGAAAGAAGTAAACTGATGTGCATATACTTGGACAAAACCTTTTGAATTACATCTTTCTTGGTTAAAATAGCAAAATCTAGCACATTCAATCCCTGACATTTATGAAAATAAGCATAGTATATTGAATTTTCTTGACCCAATGCCACTTTGGAACATGTTTCAAAACGTTCAAAGCATTTCATTAGCAAACTTTTTAAGACATTCCAAATTTTATTTTAATTTTAAGCTAACTAGTAATATTTTTGCAGATAACAATCTGTTATTACCACTAACTGGTAATTGTGTTTGCAGAGAAAAGTATTCCTATGAAATGAATTATTTTGAGGTTTTAATAATAAAGATAGGTTATTTCATATATTACCTCACCGCAGTGTGAGACTGAGAAATTTCCTTCCATTTATTCCTTATTTTTAAAAAGTGATGTGAATGTGGTGATGTTAAACAAGTCAGAGAATTAGTTCTAATAACAGAGAGTGTTATTCAGCAGAAGTGCCAAGAAAATAGGTTTTCTCACAAAAACAAAAACTAAACATTAAACAAAGGACATTTAAAAACATTTGTCTGTGGGCAATCAGCTGGTTTTGGTGTTTAAACTGCACTGACAGTCATTGTCCAAATAACAAAGGGTGAATGCTTAGACATCACCTAACCTATTGAAATAAATTGGAAATACCCTATAAAGACACAGAAGAGTTGACACTTTACCTTACACTCCCTTAACACCAGGGAGTGTGTGCTGATATGAATCCATCCTTTGATAAAGATAGAACACAAAAAATGGAGAAAGCAACTCAGATTTACAGAATAATTTAAGGACATTTATAGCCCATTTTCACTGCCACATTGCGCCAGAAGAGCAAAGCAGCAGAAGTGATATATAGATCATCGATTTTTATCCCTTTCAGAGCAGCCCTTCTTAGTATTTTTAATGAAACATTAAATGATTGTAATGTAAACTGTAACAGAATGGCATAGTTTTATACTTTCTTAATTGGATGCTAATATCCATGTCAGTATTTGCATGAAAAATGGTGTACTAAGCCAAAATATCAAGGTTTTTAAAACTCATAATCATTCTTCTGCTGATACCATCTGTCAGCTTAATCTTCACCTCCCAGAATTCAACGAAGAGGGTGCCTTCAGGGGAAGGAAAAGAAAAAAATGACAGTTATGAAAGTACAGTAAATTGAGTTTAAACCATGGGCCTGAAATCCCATTTGATTATATAGGGATAATTTGTTATTAATTGTCAAAGTTGGAAAATATTTAAGAATTGCTGTTGGGGCACTGTTAGTCATCTTCCCTGAAGGAGCTGTGGGACCCCCAGGGGGAGGGATGGAGAAGGAAGGGATGGGATGGAGAAAGGATGGAGAAGGGACGGAGATGTGATGGAGAAAGGATGGAGAGCATCTATATTTATTTATATATATTATCTATATATATTTATATACATTGTAGTTTCATTGTACTTTGTACTGTTACATTTCACTGTCTCCCCACATTTCATACAAATTTTCTAAATGATTTGTCCTATGTTTCTGATCTGTGATTCCAGAATGACTTGAAGTCATCCTACTGAGAATCTGGAATCTAACTTAAAGTGATCCTACTGAGCAAATTTTCCAGAACCAGAGTCCTCAGATTGGCATTCTGGTAAGTTAATACCAGGAGACTGTTCCGGAATACTTTGAAAAAAGGGATCTCTATTTTTCTTTTCTCTTTCTTCCTCCCCACCCTTCATTCAGCAATTGAAGATTACCAGAGGGAGGAGAGTGTTTCATATATTTCCTTGTAAGTTGTTTTAAACCTCAAGTAGTTTATCCTATTTCCATTTATTAATACAAGACAGACTCTAAAGTACACAGAGACACAGCACATATTCATTTAGCAGTGACAGGTTAACCAGGCTTTCTAAAGAATATTAGTCTCTGTTCAGTCAGTGCCTTTCTCCAGCTCCAGCGTGGAGAATCTGAATGAGGAATTAAACTCCCCTATCAGATAATAATCAGTCATTCTGATAGGAGAGAATTTCCATACTTTATCTGCCAAGGTGAAATTCCACACAGGGCAGAAGAGCAGCCAGAGGCAGGGAAACCACTTCAGCTGGCATGAGTCTGTTGGAGCCTCAGACAACACAAAGGCTTCAGGTGGCTCCTTCCAAAGAGACTTTTTTACTGCAAGACATGGAATCACCTCTCTTCTGGAGAAGTTAATTGTGGTTACACCAAAGGCCAGATTAATTTCATCATCAGCTTACAAATCAAAGTTGGGTCAATAAGGACCTATGTACTACTTCAAATAATAAAATCCCTTAGAAGGGGAGGAATTATTTGCCCTCCCTTTGAAGTACTTCTCTTGGGAAATGAAATGGAGAAGGGCAGAAAATGACACTACCATCTATTTTATAAATTCTAAATGCCTTTTCACATTCATAAGCCTTTAAGCCAGAGCTTCTTGGCTTTTCATGTTTTTTCAAAGGGGATTTGAAACTGGTTTTTGTAAGCATGCTCATCTTACTTTTGGGTTTCACCTACATATTTCTGTAGAAGTCCACTTTAACTCAAAACCTGGCAAGTAATTTAGCACTTATTTATTGAAACATGTGCATGAGCCTTAAAACCACCAGACAGTTGCAGCACAAACATCTGTCTTTTCAAAAGATTACACTCTGTCAAAATGCCCCAGAGCAAAATCTCTTGCCTTGGTTTGAAGTAGAAGCAGCAGCAGCTACAGTAGTTAGAGAGCAAGTATTTTTGGAAAGATGACAGCTGGGTTGTCAGACATTAATGCTGAATTACACAATGCCTGTATGCTACAGAAGAGATGTAATAAGCAATTATTCTTACATTATCATATACAGGGCTGCCAAGGTACTGTCTGAGAGGCAAGATAAAGGGCTTGGGGTCTGCACTGGTTCCATTGATGCTGGGGGGTTTCCATCAAGTGAAGTTAAGTCTATTTTCAGTCTTGTCATCTAAGGAAGTATCAGCTTAAACATCTGTCATGGCAAAAGTATCAACAAATGGCATCTCCAAGGCAGAATTATCCCCAGCATGAGAGAAACAGGCAAGCTAGTTACTGTAACTGCTGCTGATCAGAATTTAGCTTCTTCATCAGCAGATTTAGTACAGAGAGTAAAATCATATTTACTTAATCTTCAGCGTTGGAAGTCTCAACAAATTTCATTGTATTTCACAGATGTAATTTTTACACAGCACTGTTAAAAAGATCACTGCAGTCTTCAAAGAAAGTAAGAGGTCTCTGGGTAGTATTTATTTAGATCTTTTCTCATCTGGAAAGAGAAAATAAAAGAACTCCAGTCAGGGAGAAGGATGAGCAAACATATTGAATAGCTCCTTTGTCAAAGAAAACAGCCAAGCAAGCCTAGGGCTGGAAAACAAATGACTAGGGGTGATATGGCACAGGCCTGTGCAATTATAAATAAAGAAATTAAGATAAAGGAATTGCTCACTTTTTCTCAAAATAGAAGAACAAAAGAACGGCAAATGGGCTGTTGGGGTTACAGGTTCCAAACAATCACAAGGTCATTTTCCAAAACCCAGTTAAATGATCAGTTTAGTTAAACTAGCTAGTTAAACAACTAGCCAAATTGATGGCTAAGAACTAGAAATACATTTGAGGTTAAAACTCCAGCAGCAGAATTGATGGAAGGAAAAAACTCCATTGAGGACTTAGTAGATGTAATTTCTGCCTCAGTTGCAAAGTCTTTTCCTTGTAATTTCTCCCTTGGTATGCACTGCTGGAGAGTGGCTGATGGCCCAAACCAGACCTGACGTGAATCTTCTCATGCTCTAAATCACAAGGCTGGAAATTTAACTCCTTCCAATTGTCAGGAACCCACTGAAGTCAGATGAGCCATGCAGATTTTTTCTGAGGGCCTCTATGTATTTGTAACTATCAGAAAAAAGGAATGACCTTAGGAAAACAAATATAAACAGAAATGTTTTAAGAAAAGTTATTCAAAAGTCTTTTCATTACCTTAAGATGCCAACTATTAGAAATTCTATTTGAAATAATTGTGTGGTTTTCTAAGAAGCATCATTCAACAGCTGTTCCATCTCAGCTCCTGGCAAAGCTGATAAGGACAGTTCTCCAGACATGACTTTGCTAAACCAAGGCAGGGTATTATTTTCAGTCAGATTCCTCAAAAATTATTTTTAGCCTCATCTCACACTTCTGGTTTCTTAGATTTCATCTCAGATTAAGCAGTAACTCATCCAGAGAGGACATGAAAATAGTTGAATCCAACACAATTAAATAAATTCACAGTCAAGTCATGTTAAGAAAGATCTGTGTGTTTCCCCTTCCACTTGGGACCATGCAACATCCAACTGCCCAGCTATTTTTTGGGAAGAATGACAGGCTTCAAACACAATGACAGCTAAGCAGAAGCCTTACTTAGACTATCAGCTGAGCCAAATGTGGCTGTACCATCTGAAGGCAGTTTTCTGTGGTATTAAAGGATTCAGTAAGTATGTCACTGAGAGTCACTAAATATTGTCTGTCATGTTAAACAGGATCTGCTTCCCCTTTCATTTTGGAGAGACCAAAACCTGTGAGATTCTGCTCCACATTCACTTTTCCAAGCTGAGAGAAGAGTGAATTCTGCTGTGGAATTCTGATTGTGGATTCCTGATGCCTCTGTTCCAGCACACCTATTTTCCAGCTTGGCTCTGGCTTCATCCTTCCTCTGACTGACCCACAGTTGGGCTGGTAGCGGCCCAAGGACACTCAGCAGTGCCAAATACACATTTCAGGGAGCCTCTAATGAATCCCCACTGAAATTTCATCAACTGTGCAAAGTAGATTGATTAAATGCTACTTGCCACACAGGTAAATGTTTTCTGGGGTGTGCATTTATTGGTAGGAAAAATTGACTAGCAGGGTACCTGAATTTCGTTCACAGCATCTATTCATAGCACACAGACACATTGTACAATTGCAGTCACTATTAAGAAAAATCAACAAAAGGCTACAGCATTATCTGTGCTTCTCCAGCAATTTCCTCTCACAAATTAGGCATGCCTTACTTTTCCTTTTGTTGTCCAAGGAAGTATTATTTGTATAATGTTCCACTGTGCTTTAAATAGTTTTCCAGACCATTTCTCAGATGAACTAAGAATAAAGTTACCTGCTATTGAACTACTGTTATTCCTTTGTTGCCTCAGATTCTCAGTTTCAGATGTGCCAGGGTTAAAAAAAAGTCCTCCCCAACTCTCACAAAGCCCTCCAGGGAGTCACTGTCACATTTAATCTTTCCCTGTCTCCCTGTTTCTCAGGGTGTCTTCTGAATAACAGCATTTTGTCTATTTTATTTGCTCTTTCTCTTACACACACTCAGTTGAGGAAAAGTAATTGAAACTATGGCATCTCACCTTGCAGTGTCTGTGTAGTTTGAACCGAGGTGTGTCTAGAGATCAAATTTCTGCTTATCAAGTGCATAAATGTGATCCAAAGCCTGGAGACATCAGTGAACTCTGCAGGAGTTCACTTGCTGAGCAGGTGTTCATGGCTCACCACAGGAAGAGAGATTTAGGGTAGAAATAGCTTTTCACCTCTACAAACTGAGTAGCTTTTTGCTGCAATTTGCACCTCTGGACCTCCCAGTAACACCCAGGTTCCTCTGAATGAGTCTGGCAGCCTGGGCTGAGCACAACGGTGAGCTCTGTGTCTCCTGCCTGGCTTTAGCTGTGAAACACAAACTTGAGATGCTGCAGGAGCTCTGTGTCTTGCTGCACTTGGGCCACAGTGGCTGCATCTCTTTCCATGCCATGGTACACACACTTCTGACTCACCATCAGAAAATTCTTCCCATTCTCTACAAACTGACCATTTGCTTTCTAGTATGTAATATTTTTTTTTAAAGAATCAGAGTGAAACACCAGCCAGGAAATGGGCACTCAAGGGATGGAAATGCTCTCATGCTCCACCTCTGACTGCTGCACTTTCTCTGTAGTACATTTCCTTCTGTTTTTGCCCAGCTCGTTTTGTGTCTTACTGCATCCAGTGAAACAGGTTGGAATGCTTCCCTCAGAAAATCATAATGAAGCAGCCACACAACCTTGCTGTCAAATACATTTTGTTAATTTTCCCTTCATTTGATCTCTCCCATTTACACAATGTTTCACAGTTCTTTGTATTCCCATTCTAAGTGTTTCATGTGCAAACCTGGCCTTAAAATATCTGCTGGCTGCTTTCCCTGCCTTATGTTTTAGCCAAGCTGTATCTAAATTACCTTAAATTTATTTTTTTCTCTCATGTAAATGTTTACAATTTTTTGGCAAGGTTTTTTGTGGGGTGTGCTAATGCTGTGCTTTGCCACTTCTCTCCCCACCAGTGCCCTCTCTCCCATCTGCAGTGGATTTGTGGCACTGAGATGTCCAAGGGCAGCTGCTGGATCACACCCTGAGGATTCCTGCTGAGCTTCTGTTGTGGAAGAGCTGGCATAGACAGGAAGAAAAGCTGCTTTTAAGGTATGGTAAGATAAAAGAGAGCAGCAGCAGCTCTGTGAAAAGCTCTAGGACTGACTGTACACATATTATGTCTCGATGCTCATTTTTATTTTAGGCATTCCTTAGAATGGGCCTCTTTTTATGAGATAATTTCTTATTAAATTTGGTCTTTGATCTCCAAGTGGAGGTTTGGGCACAAGTACAATTTAAAATTATTTCTTAACAGCAGAAATTATAATAGTAGTTGTGTTGCCTTCTTTAAAGTAAGTTTTGTCTCTGCTAGTGAATATCTGCAATTTGTGCTATTGTTCCTCAAATGAAAGCGTGGGGGTTTTTTTACAATGAAGAATACTATCATAGATTTGTAGAGCTCTTTGGGTAAATAAACCTCCTTTAATGTCCTTAGCCTTTCACTTGGACATTTATTCACTATGGATCTAATAATTGTGATGAAATCCATAAAATATTTTAGTCTTTAAACTGACAGTGTGGCCAACATAACACAGCTGGCCTTTTTGCTTCTTTCACACCCATTTTGGGACAGGTAGGGTGGCCGAATGACCCTGCCACAGCCAACTGTCCTGATGTCCCTAAGGGCAGTGATGCAATGATCTCACTTTCTTTGTCCAGCTGCAAATTTTTAGAAGGTTTGGGAAGATTTATCTTCTGATGGGGGCTACGAATTTTCATTTCCATCAAAATTTATCCAAACAAAATGAACACAAGTCACTTTTAAACACAGAAGTTTGGGGTTTATTTTTTTTAACTGCATAACTGCAGCTGCTTTCTTCCTGAGAACCTGGCTTAGCACGTGGTGTGAAATATTGCTACATGCATTTCAGTAACTCAAAAGCCCAAATATTGTTGCTGTGTAGCAGAAGTGATGAGGTTCTTGAGAATATGAGTGGTGAGCAGTTACTCAGATTAATAACAGGGTGTCTGCAGTCCACTAAAGAGCATTGGCAATCACTCAGACACCTGAGCACTGCACAGGGGGGACATTCACAGCAGAAAACATTCAAATATATTGCTGAAAATACATGACATTTCTAAATGTTATGTATTTTGTGACTAAATGAAGCTCAGAGTCATGCTTGGTCTACTCAGGATCTAACTAACAAAGAAGATTAAATGTGAGTGGGAGATGCATGACTTGAGATCTAATCAGTGGGAACACACACAGCAAAATGAACAAGAAACTGATGAAATGTGTAAAAAGAGGGATTGGGAAGTGGGTTTTGAGCTCTGAGCATGTTGCTGGGCTCTCTCTGTGCAGTGTGGCACTCCCTGCTCTGCCCCACTAAAGGGGGTGGGTGACAAATCCTGTGCCTGGACACACCTGAGCCAGACACTTTGGCCTTTGGAATCAGGATTTGTTCCAGGGACTGCAGAAGGGAGGAAAGGGTCCAAACCCACATTTCGCAGTCAGCCCAGGTTCAATTCAGTGGCCTTCCTGCATTTGCAGTTCCCTGTATCTCAATAGATAGTAGTTATAGTTTTAATTATCTGCAACCAGATAATTAAAGCTGATGGGCATCTTGATAGGAACAACTTGTCATGGCACAAGGCTTCATAAAGTTGACAGTGGCTCTCTAGGCAGCAACTGCTTTTGATGTGATCTCCAAACTGTTTAAGGTGTGTTTGAAATATTAAAATAGAAATGGCTGCTTTATTTCCTGGCTGGCTCAAGCTTGAGCATTGGGTCACATCAAAACGTATTTTTAATGATCAGTGCTAGCGGGGGTGCTGAGGGATGATGTAGGAAAAGGGAGATTAGGACTAAATTGGCTTCTCTTTAGAATGCTGGGAAGAGAAGGGCAAACAGGAGCTATCAGGGAGTGGCAATGATAATGTTCCATAATCACTTTTCTGTGTATTTCCATCAGAATCAGAAACAAAATGACTTCATTGACGCTAAACAGATAATCCAGCCTTCATGCCTGGATTATTATAAACAATATTTATAAGAAATATAATAATAAAAAATATATATGTGTAAAAACTAATATTATTCACAATGTCTGGTTAGACTTCAGACCATTGTGTCCAAGTTTGAAATTATTGCCCTTAACTGACCATGATTTCTTTCATCCAACAGCTTGGCAAATGATACAATGGCAAGTTTTGGATAATCAAATAAATAGATATAAATTAAAGCCCAGTATTTCTCCATTCCACTGTTCCAAAAGACCTTTAACAAAAACATTTTCAAGGGAATTATAACTTTCTTTGTGTTATGAGTAATGCAATATTAAGCATATACCTCAGCTCTTGAATTATGGTTTATCTTTGATATTAGTGATCAAATACTCGTTGTCTTGATTATTTAAATAATTAGATATTTTATCAGTTTCCTTGAAAAGCTCAGAATAAAGAGCAAAACCCCTTGAAGGGCTATTCAATATTTAGTTTACTGCCAGCAGAATAATCATCAGGCAGGAGGATGCTGCAACAGGGGAAAAAATGTTGCAGAAAGTTCCAGATTTTCAACATGAAAATCTTTACCACCTTTGCTGTGTTATAGTTACTTCTTGCAAAAAAAAAAAAAAAAAAATCAAAAACTGGAGGCCTCAGATCCACACCTGAGGATATCACAACTGCAGGAGCATTAAAGGAAGCAGAGCCATCCCTTACCCAGCTGAAGGTTCTGCTCAAGCATCCATTCTGCTTTGACTTAAGTGGTGTTTAAAGACAATAACATGAGGAAACTCTTCATTTCACCCTTGCAGAAGAGGTGATGCAAAGCTTCTATTTTTATGCACGAAAATAGAATTAAAGAGCATATATAAATAGAACTGGAGATGTAAATTCCTCTGTTTTTTTATGAACATCAAATAGTGGCACCAATGAAATTCCAATGTTTTTAAGGTTATAATTTACCAGTGGCATGAAAAGAAAAATTAGTATTTAGATCTTTGTTATGCTTAATCATTTCAAGCTTTCTGACTGCTGTGAGGATGTCATGGAACATTAGAATAAAATCAACTCGATGCTCATGCATAATGTGTGAGAAGTTTTTTGTCTGCAATAATTTCTACTCTTTCCTACTAATTGTCATCAGCAGAGGATGCAGGCTGCAGTTGTCTTGCTAAATACAAATATAGCTACAGTATTTTTTGTTCAATTTATTCATTTATCTCGCCCTGGGTGTATACACCATGTAAAATGTATTTCTACAGAAAGATAAAGAGAGTATTCCAGTGTGTGTGCACTGCAGAAATGAGAGGTATAGAATTTATAAGTGCTTTTTATTTTTATTGAGAGACAAAATATAAGAGTGATTGCCATCACTTTCTGCCACAGATTTTGGTTATGGCTTCATGCTCCAGATGCTTATGGAAGCATGCAGAAATATAGTCTCAAAAAAAGTCAGATGTGGCTTGACATAAATATTAATTATTTTACAATTTAAATCTTTTAAAGTATTATCTATTAAAAAAGAGTTCACCACAAATCCTCCATAATAAAACACTGTTATTCCCATAAATGGCTGTAAGTAACATGTTATCTACATAATTTCATAATGAGATTAAATGTTTGATTTCACCATCCTGAACTACCCCATTGCAATGAACAATACAAAGAGCTACAAACACAATGTTGGGGGTTTTTTTTAAGTGTTTGAGGTGCTTTTATGAACATATGAATAGTTCGTAATTTCTGAAGAAAAATATGTGCTTTTCCAAAATCAAGCACTACATTTGCAAGAGGCTTTTCCTTTTCTTTCATTCTGGATCAGAAATAGAAAGATTGCAGATGTTACTAAGTAGTCAAGGAGAAAAAGGATGACTGGGAGCATTATAAGCAGGTAAGTGTTTTCATTTTCATTTTGGTTTTGCTACCCTTCAAACTAAGACATGACTTCACTGTTTTCTTTCCTTCAAGAATGAGTCACAGCAAGGTTTTACAGAGAAGCTTGCAGTAGTGAATATGAGCAAGAAATAGAGATGCAGAAATATTCTATTTGAAAGCAGGCAATTAAACACGTAACTTTTTAAATGGGGAGATGTGAGTTAGCAGATTCCTAAGCAGAAATTCTATATATTTTTGTATTACTTCACACAATAAGATGTAACCTTTATAGTTCTCCAAGTGTTTAGAAAGCTGGATGCATAGTTCTAGAACAGACTTTGTCCTAGAGAAACTGCTGGGCACAGCTTTTATATTGTTGTATTAATGCATTTTATTTACTATGAAATGTTCACATTATTGAATCCCATTTTTCTCACAGCTGGTCATACTGTGGAAAGCAAACCATCCAGTTTAAATAAATAAAACAATACCATTGTGCTGGTAAGTCAGAAGATAGCAATTCTGTGTAATGGAAATGCAAATACAAATGCAATTTTTATTTCATGGATAAATGGAACCTGCAAAAAGGTGGTGCAATGTTTTTCCCCTCTTTTTTTCATCTCATCATTAGGTCACACACTAATCCATCCTTCATTCACCATATTCCATATGTTTTGGTGCACTTCAAAAGTTTATGAACATTTCTCTTCTGATCTAGTAGCTTGGTGAGCAAAGGTTGAGGGATTGAATTACACAAGGTCTCCAAGTTATTTCACAGGCACATCCTCTTCACTGAAGATTACTTGAGATAATAGCTGTTTGCCTGTGGGTCTCTTTTTCATGTTGGAGAGTATTCTCAGCACAACAACTTTATAGGCTGCTCTCAGCACTCCAAACAATAAGCTACTTACTCTCTCTGTCCTCCCTCTATTTTTGCACTCATTAATTTAAGAACAAATGTGATAAGAGTCTTAAATTTCCAATAAACATTCCTATATTCCTTTAAGTGGTCTAAAAGATGGTGAATATTTTGCTAATATTATTTCTTTTGTTGTTGTTGTTGTTGTTTTTCCTACAAACACGATGAAGTGTAGAAACGTCTGGTGTTACGAGTCAGGATTGCAAAGTTAAAGGTAATTACAGTATAATTAGTGAGGGGCAGGAACTGAAGGCTCTGCTGGGCAGATTCTGAACCACAGTGCAATGCAGAATAAGGAACTGAAAGCCTGGGTTTAATGGTTTTCACATGAATCCTCCTTTAGTACTTCTAATATGGGCATTGTCCTTGCAGAGAGGGGCAGAACATTCCCCACCTCATCGGTGGTCCGCAGCTCTCAGAGATGTGGGAGACTCACTTGGAGCAGCAGCTGCTTTTCTTGGTGCTTATCCAAGGCAACTGGAGCTGTGAAGCTTTTGAGGATCACCTTTCACATTAAATCTGTTTTCTTCAGGAAATAAATTCTCACTTCAACTTGGCCTGTGCTATATAAGTACACAAATCAAGAAACATTTCTGATTGAAAGGGCACATAGAGATTGCTCCAGGCTACTAATACCATCCTTGTGTGAAACAAAGAGAGATAACCAAGAGGGGGCTCAAAAGTGATAATACACACACAAAAAAGTGCTATTTTTTCCAAAACAGTACACTTTCATCACCACTAGCTCAGAGAAATTGTGTTTTCTTTATATTTTAGTGACACTTACAAGGATTCCTGCTAAACGATTTGAAAGCAGAATTCAGTACCTGTGTTAAAGCTACAGGATTTGAAAATAAGCTGATGAAGAGCTCAAAGATCTGGATGAGACTGGAAAATATTCTTATTTCAATGCAAAATTAATGCTGCAATGTAAGAAAAAATTTCAAACTATCTTCTAACCAAGGAGTTTTATGCTCCTATACTCAATATCTTTGAATCTGAACTTCATTTTATCTTCTAGCTATTCAATTCCCGTCTAAAGGACAGAAAAACTTTCCATTCATTTCAGTGTGGACTAAGTGAGGTGTCATGGACAAGGTGAAAAAGATAAATGAGCATTTACAGAATCAGATATGAGCATTCCTGAGTCACAAAGGGATTATATGGTAATATCTAGCTCCCAATGGGAATGCTGAGTGCCTGGAGAATGATTTTCATGAGGATGTGTCCTACCTTCCATATGGGACTGTCCCCTCTGAGGTCATAATTGTGTAAACACAGCCACAGCTGCCTTACACAAACTCTCCCTCAGCAAGACAGTGATGAAATGGCACCCCAGAAAGTGGGGTACCCCAGTGTGGGCTGACTTCTGCACTGCAGAATAAAGCCTGAACCATTTCTACATCCTCTTGGCCCAGGAGAATATCTACATATCTGAAAGATCATTTTCAAATTCAATTTGTCCTCTAGATTCTATAAAGGTATTTCTTTAATTCGGCATGGTAGAACCAACTATGTAATAAGGCACTTCTCCTTTCATAGTTTCTAAATAATACTATCCTGAGCTAGAGGTGAAAAGGTCATGATCTGCAGGAGATAAGGGTAGCAGATTGTCCAGTAATATGGATCATTTTTCTTGCCTGTCTGGAATTTTTATTGCAATGCTAGATCCTCCACAGAGCAAAGAAAATGACAGGGAAAGCATCGACAGCATTCTCCAGTGCCTGCTGAGGTCCTTAGCCTTTAAATATTTCAGGCAGCATCTCTGATTCAGAATGAAAATGGACAAATGAAAACATGAACTGAGTTCTTCAGGAAGGGAGTTGCGGGAAGAGCCAGAGATGAGATTTATCAGGGTATGGAATAGGTTTCTAGTGGAAAGTTATGGCAAATTAGCCTGAATATAGTACTCAGATATATGGCAGGAAGCAATTCCAGAGAGTTATGGCAATAAGCAAAGTAGCCTGCAGGTCTTTTTCATCTGGACAGTTTGGGAATGAGTCTGTGATTGGTTTCCCTCATGGCACAGTCTGCAGCTGGTAAGCAAGGAGGGGAAAAAAGTCAATATTATTTTTTTTTTAAGTGTTCCCATTATTTTGCTCTTTGGCCAGTACTCATTACTGTGTAAGTCAAGTTTTCCACTTATTCTATAGCACCCTGGAAACAACTTTGATTGTCGAAACAACCAATAGCCTCTTGGAGAAGGTGTCAGGAAAGTAGGGCAGAATCAGGAGGGAAAGATCAAAACTGCTCATCTCATCACTCCCCCCCGCCCCCATTATAAGAGCACTCAGCTCAAGAGGACATTTTTTTTTCAGGCCATGTTCAATCTGCTGCAGTTTCAAAAGTCTCAAGTGATAGGGAATATTTTCTCACCATTTACTGGGATGTTGGAGTGTGTCAGCTCCAACTACTAAATATCTGGTTTGATGGCGACATTTGCAAGTCTCCTGCACCACTGACCTCAGTGCACAAGTTAACAGCTCACATCCCAAAGTCAGTTCCTTAATTAGCTTGTCCTTCCTCCAGAGATTTCTCAGGAATTCTTCTGATGATGCCCCAGACAGATGTGGTACACCAGTGAAGCAGCTTTTGCCTTCAACAGGAATTTCTGAAACAGGAATTTCTGTGTTCCTGAGGGCACCTGACGTGGCAGGAGGAGGTGACTCAGCTGCGGTTTCAGAGCCTGTTCGTCCAACCCCCACAAGGTTTTCCTAAAAATGCATTTGCTTGACTGCTATCCAACATTTTCATCACACATTCAACAGAAAGAAAGAAGCAAAATCTTCCCTCGAATAATGTTCTGTATTATTGAAGGCAGTTTGGGGAAAAGATCTTGTATCTAGGACAGGGTAGAATATAAATTAACATGGAAAAGACAAGAGGAAGTTTTACACAGTGTATGGAATCCAGGATTTTTTTCATAATTAAATTCTTGCTTCTTAAAGAGAGATGGGCTCTTTCTGCTTCTTCACAGATTTCCCACTGAAATTTTTTTATTAGCAGTCACAAGACAGGGAGAGAAAAGACCAGAAGATCCTCTGGCTCTTTAATTGTACCTATTCTTCTGTCTCCTTCATGAAATTATTATTATAGGCAACAAATAAATATAAGCTTCACACTTATGGAATGATACCTTCTTTACATGCAGAAATTAATTATAAATCCTTCCAAAGTAAATCCTTATATCTCATCAAATTGCTGTATTAAAAAATCATCACAAAAATATCTTTCCATGTGAGACTCTCAAATATATGAAATGTAAATTAAGTCTCAGAAAGCACCCTGAATGAATGCATTAGGCCCATTCTGTGGGTGGTTATACAGACACTTTGAAAATTTTTTTGTTCATATCTTCAATCACCTAAAGTGGCACAACAGTAAAACCCTCAAGCCCTCCATCTTATTTGCTGCAACCATGGCACAGAAATCAGACAGGAGACTTTAGAATAAAATTACTCAGAGATTTCATTAAAATATTTTATTCCTGAGCACCCAAAGTAGAAAAAAAAAAAAATCCACAAAAGACTCAACATGCTGTTTGATCAAATAACTGTTTAGAGGATAGATGCAGAAGGGAGCATCTCTACCCTGAGAAAGGCATCCAGCATACATAAGACCAAGGTGGAAAAACATCTACTAACACTAATCCACAGTAGTACCAAAATGTCTGAAAATGCAGTTTCCTAGAAAATTTAATATTTTATCTAAAGGTAGGCAGGTATTTCAGACAGAGGCCTGTCAGTGTTTTCATTAACTTAAAGGATAGAAGACTGTACTCATGTAAAATTTACAGTGTACATTAAACCATCAAGGGGAACAACGTTCTTGAAGCCAGAATTAAGATTCAAAATGATCTTGATAAATTGAAAAGATGGTCGAGACTCAAGGAGATGCCATTGGCCAAGTGGCAATGTCCTGCTCAGTATCACAAGAGAAGAACAGAGCTGAAGTGGCTGTGAGCAGGGCAGGGCTGTGGCAGGAGTGGGAAGTTATTATTCTTTGGTTCTTGGCACTGGTAAAAGTCTCATCCAGAGAACATCACTCAGGACTAAAGTATCTTGAAAAAAAAACAAACATAAAACCTAAACCAAAAATTGTAGATAAATTGGCAGGAGCTGAGAAGCATCAAGAGAAACAGGAGTTGTAACAAACATCTCTGCATAAAGACAGAATAAGTTGTAGCTTTTGTTTGTTCATTTCCAAGAAAAAGAGAGAGAGGAAAAAAAAGAAGAAAGATGGGAATAATTACAATTTTGATAGTGAGAGTACATTTTTAGTCTATTCTCCATGAAATATCTAAAGATGCAACTGAGAACAAACCAACCCCAAAAGGCTGACGACTGTGATCAGTTTATTTTGCTTAGCAGATATATAAAATGAGTTTAAAACCAAACAGCTACAAGTGTAAGATAAAAACTGTAACTCAGTCCTTGCTCAAGACATTGTTCTGTACCTTTTTTTGCTTCTAAGAAATGCTATGGCACTTGTGCAGAGCAACAAGGAAGGAAAACAGTGGACCTGACGTTAATCATGCATTAGTCTCCACTTCAAATTTCAAAAAAATTATCTACATTATTCACCAGGTTTGACACTTGCCACAACAAAAAAAAAGACTATTATTTCCTTTTTGTCACTCAACTTTACAAAACCTCTCTCATTACTGAGGACAAGACACCAGAATTAAGATTGCATCCACCCTCAAACAAGCTCCACAAAATTCTCTCCAGCTGTTCTTTCCCACACTTCTGGCACACAATGCAAGCTAAGAGCTTTTAGATGCTGAATCCCATGCAATGCTGTTAATAGCAATAAGTATCTCTGCTGACATATTTTAAGGAATTGTCAATCACAGTTAATAAAGGCAAGCAATAAGGATTAGATTTGAAAAAAAAAAAAAAAAATGCTTGAGCTAACATTCCAAGGCTTTTTTTTTTTTTCATTTTTCAAACATGTCTGATTTGTATATTTAACAGTGGTATTGACTAAAGACTGGAGAACCTGTATCCTCAGTGGTGGAAATGTAAATGGTATTCATCTTTAGATCTAAGCAAATTAAAGAGCATAATTCCTATGGGCTCTCATAATTAGATATTTAAGGTGGATTTTGGAGCAAAATGTTAAGCACAGAGCTGCTTTAGTAGCTGTCATAACCACTGAGTGCTAAGGCGGGACACAGATAGCATTTAGGAATTTTGGTCTTAATGAAAACCTTTGGGATTGACAGCACTATTCCTCTGGAAATATCTCTACCTTCTGGTGGAATTTTTGAAAACCTTTCCCTGGGTGTCTCGGTGGTTTATACAGTGCCTTTTTGGGCTGAGCAACACCAAGTTCTTTGTTAATTGATCCTTTCAAATAAATAAACATGGAATGAGTAGTTGCAACCTTGGTTCTGCTGAGCATTAACTCCAAGCAAGTGACATGCTGTTGGTATGAAAAGGCAAGACTGGGAAGCAGTTGTCCAGAAAATAAGAAAACTCTGAAGAGGAAAGAGAATACCAGGCAGTGACTGGCTAGGATCACAGATTTTTGCCTAGGTAAATTAAATAATGGGAAGTTATGGGGGAAAGCCAAAGAATGAATGATTAGATGGCAAAAGAGAATAAAAACACAGGACACATTCCCAGCTGCCTTCTGAAATACACTTCCTGCTTCTTCTGCCCAGGAAAAAGCTATAGTTTAATCAGAAATTAAACTCCTGTCCCTCAGGTGCCTCTTGCCACAAGACAGAGGTCCAAGCAGTATTTATGCTGCACATGCTGATATTTTATCCTGTCTGAGCCATTCATTACCTTCATTAGCAGGACATTGCCACTAATGCAAGGTATTCAGCCTATTCAGCTTTCTGTGAGTCCTTCCTCAGAGTAAGGGTCAGTGTGTTATTTAATGTCTGATCCCAGTCCCTGGGGCAGCCTGGCCCATGCTGCTGATCTCAGCTGCTGGGGGTTAGTGATGGCATATCCTGAAAGGAATTTCTGCCCAGTTTGGATGTGGATGAAAATTTTCTACAGATCAAGCATTGGAAATCCCTTAAACAACTAGAAATGCCTCTTCTGAGCTTTCCTTGCCCACATTTATCCTATTTCCTTCTCTTATTTCTATTCCTTTTGCTTTTCTGTCGTCTCTCACAATCACAGAGCTGGATGATCTCCCATGGCAGGCACAGGCTCTGAGCAAAGCACGCTGAATATTGCAGTGCCTCTATTGAAACGACTCCTAGTAACCAAAAAAATACACCTAAAGAATGTCATTGAAGCATCTGTCGTTCCTCCCTGGGTCGCTGTAGAGTAGAGCTGACCATAATACTGGGCTCCTTCATAGCAATATTTGTGGGCAAAGCACATATTAAAAAGAAAAGCAGATATTTTTAAATTAAAACACAATAAATATTAAAGCTAACAATCAAAGAAACAATAAACATTTCTCTCAGAAAAAAAACAGTTTGGGGAACAAATTTCTTGGAAGCCTCTCTGTGTTAGTCAAGTTTCTCCTGAAAGGAGGCTTTGAACAAGGTACAAAAATCTTGCTTCATTTCAAAGCTTTCCCTATAGAAAACACACCACTTGGTCTTGTTAAAGGGTCTAATTCAGCAAGAAAGAAAGTGAGGCCAAGAAGAATGGTAAACAATTCCTTTCACACCAGGTACTGAAATAGAGAATAGATCCTGCTGTTGAATTAGATAAAGCAAAACTGGGGTGTCAGAGCTGCTCACGGTTATCAACCCTCCCCAGCCACACACCCCACAGTGCAGAGGGATTTTTGTTCCCTAAAAGACTCATTTGCTTTGCCTGTCCCCTGAGAGGCTGTCACTGAATGTGCACTGGCACTGAGGCTGCCCATGCCTCACCTGGAGCAAAAAGAGCTGGTTTTGCTCCAGTGAGTATTCACTCATTTTGAATTGTTTCCAAAGTCACCTTCTTGACCCTGGTGCATCCTGCTTGCCATTCCTACTCCTGTCCTGTGAAAAGATGGGAAAAAACATGGTGACTAAAACAAATCCTGTTCTCAGCTCTATCCAGAACCAGTGTAGGCTTCATTTAAACCTATGTTATGGTGGTATTTGACCCAATGTTTTCATGGTGTTTATTTTCTCCCCCTTGGCCAACCAGAGCTTCAGTGTCCCATGTGTTCACCTTCTCCTACCCCAAACACTTGGCACATCAGCTTTCCAGAGAAAGTGCTCTCCTTTTGTAGGTCTGCTTTACTGACCATTCAAATGACGTGAAGTGAGATAGTGGTGGATAAATTGAGAGTTCATTTGCCTGGTTCTATTTCCTTTATTTTGTATCTTCTCCATTGTTGTGGTTCAAAAAATTTGTAAATATCACCCGGAGCTTGAATGTCACCCAGCTGACATTCAAAGAATGTGAATTTAGGTACTTCTTAGGCAAAGCATCTACAACAACACTGATGCCTGAATCAGTAATGCCTGACATGATATTCTACAATTCTTAAAATTAGTGAAGATAATTAAAACATTATTTTAAATAGACTGAAATACTAATTATTGCTTTAGCTGAGATTCCATTTATAGCAAGTTTCATTTAACATTTCATTAAGAAACCAAGAGGTATAATTCAAATATACTTTGTTTGTGGGGCAACAGTAAATTCAATTTATCAGTAAGGTATTCAAATTAATACTAAATGAGCCAGTACATTTAGCATAAGAAAGCTTCTTGTCTTTTCTGAAACTCAAAGAAACCAGAAGCAAAGGAAAAAAACAGTAAGGAAATAACTCCATTACAGCTAAAATTCAAGGCAGCAAATGACAAGATTTTTCCCTCTACCCAAGACAGAAACTCAAAAAGAAAAAAAAATTTCAACAAGAAGACCTGACACAGGCTTCCACTTCTTTTCCCATCCACTGAACTAAATCATTCATTGTGCTTTGATGACTTTAAGGAGCAAATGAGTTTTCTTTCTAAGCTAAAGATCGAAAGATGATTGCCTGTAGAGTAAGGAGTGTCTGAGACTTTTGACAATTCCCCCCATGAGTTGTACCCAAATATTTTTGCCTTGAACAAGAGACTACTGGAAGGAGGGCATTGTAGAAGTAATTACAGAATATTGCAGTTACTCACTCTTTCAGCTTAACCTGGTCCCTGCAGGTTTCCTCTTTACTCAAGACCTCTGAGGACTCAGATTGCTCTTGTCAGCAGGAGTTAAAGAACACTTAAGAACAGGAAGAACAGAAAATCTTAAGAACAAAAAAATCTTAAGAACAGAAAATCTCACCCTTTGCAAGCCAACCTCATCTGGCTCTCAACCAAGCCTTGCCAAGACCATTTGGCCTAAAGCCCCAGTGCAGCACTCCTAGCAAGGAAACTCATGCCAGGCAAATAGAAATCCTTCCTAGCAGCACCCAAGAAATTGAACCAGATTTCCTTCAAGAGCTTTGATCCCCAAATAGCCTACTCCATCTCAAGTGGGAGCTCAGAACATTTGGGAAGTGCAGCAGATGGTTTTTGGAAGGTTGTATCCCACAAACTATTGTTTTTCTTGAACCTTGCCTGCAAATCTCAGGTCACCATTCAAGAATCTTTCTGTGCAACTGATAACATTAAATTCTTCTCAAAACTTCTACTGTTTTCTTCCTCTTGCTCCTATTCTTTTGCTGTTGGTTGCTGTCTCTCTTGTGGCTTTGTGGCAGCCATGCACCCGTCACCTTTGGGGTTTTCTTGGTGATGTATCTAACTGTCATTTATTTTTGGCTTTTGAAGTACATACCTTAGATTTGATAAAAGCTCAGACCAGCCGGTGTTTTGGGAGCAGAGCTCACTGGATAGGGCTTGGGTCTTCAAGGACCTGGATTCCTCTCCTGTCTCCAGACCAGGGCCACTCAGCAGCTGTGGATAAATTCTGTCTTCACATATTTGGCATTAATTTTCAAACCTTTTTTCAATTAAGATCATTCATTCCCATATGTTGTACAGAACCTGCTATAACGTGGCCCTGATTTCACTTGAGTTACTGATGTATGAAGCAATAACTACATTTCAGAGGGGAGATAAAGGATGAAATCAGTAGAACAACTGGCAATTCTTATTAGACAAAAATAAAATTGTCTCTCATATTATACACTTATTTCTTAGCTAGTTCTTTCTTTAAGACCTAGTCAGAAATTATCTCCTATTGTAGTGTACAGAGGAAATCTAGCAAATAACCCCATATTTTTAAAACTAGAGGAAGCAGAAGGCATGAAAAAAAGAAGTGACGTATGTTGAGACAAGTAACCAAGTTCATTTGCTTATTCTTGGAAGAGTGCAGTGATGTTCTTCCAGTTTTAGAGATTATTTATTTTCTGAAATATGTTTTAGAGTGTATTATGGTCATATTCACAATTGGCCTTAGAGAAGGACACGTACTTGGAGCTTGTTCAGAGTAATTTAATCAATCTTACACAAAAAAGCAACAGCCAACCATTATGGCCCAAGTCAATACTAAAATGATTTCCCAAAACTCATTTCAAAGTCAATTCCGGGAATCAACTGGTAGCTTCAAAACACTGAGGCTCAATGATAAATTTAATTTTCTCTAAAGTCTGTAATTGAGCTTTTTTAAAATAAAAATTACAGTTTACTGCCATCTCCTTTAATAAAATACTGTGCTTTGGGTGGCATGTCATTGTGTTTCTGGTAACTCCTCATTTTTTAACATAAATCAATATATTTGGTATGGTTGGTACCACCTCATAGTGACAAGAAATATTAACACAGCTCATTTTGTAGAAGAAAAATAAACACATGGCATATATTTAATCTGCCTGCCTGCCTACCAGATGGAGAAGAGAAGGGCCAAGACACTGATGGAGTAACTGTTTAATCACATCAGATTGGTGGCTTATTTATAAACACAAACAAGTCCGCTTGCACCTTTGGGAACTCACCATGTTTTCTCCCAGCTTCTGAAAGTGTATGGTGGTTAATATTCTATTTACAGGTGAGGCAGATACGTGATATGATCATGACATAACAAGGAAATAACATCTTTGTGACTGCTGGCTCACCTGGATACCTGTATCATAACTACTTGAGAGCCAAACTGCTCCATTTCATGCACTGAGAATGCCTCTGATTAATTTAAAAATTCTCATGTTTTGATGATTTTTTTCTTGTAAGTTCCATAAATATGTCACAAGTACCTCATAGCTTTTCCATAGAGAGCATCACTTACTTCAGCAATACATTTATCAGGTACAGCCAATGGATATTTTGACACTTTCTCCTTGACAGGATAAAGATGTGCTCAATGACAAAAGGTTTGCCAGATTTTATCTCAATTTTTGGGTATTTCAGTTCCTGTTTAAATCAATGAAAATATTTTGTGGGATAAAAGGATACCCAGAGGAGCAGAGAATGGCAAATGTTTGTCTCAGAATACTCAGTGTGGGAGAGGGCACAGATTCTGTAGCACTGCTGACTTGTTAAAATTTGTCTGGATAAAGGGGGCAAATTCAACTCTTGGAAGAAAGCAGAGTTTATGCCCTGTCTGGTCTGTGTCACTAGGTTGTCACTGATGTGAGCTACCTAAACAATCCTCACATGCTCTACAAGTCAGAGAAATCAGACTCGAGGGGAATATTAGGTAACGAGAAGAGGAGAGAGATGTTTTGGAGGAAACAATTAGGATCATAAACAAAAACCAAACAAACAAAAAACAAAAAAAAAAAAGAGAAACAACAAAAACCCAAAAAGCATAAAACAAACAAAACCAAAAAATTTTCCATAACTGTAGGAATGCCAGTATTTCCCTATCTCATTACATGTGTCCAGGAACATCCTGCATATGTTTTAATTCCTCTGTTGAATTACAGATTTTGTCTGCCACTTCTTCAATATTTTTTTTCTGTCCTATTTGCTTTTGATTTGGTTTGGTTTTGGTGGGTAATGAAAGGAGTGAAAAGTGAGAGAGAGAACCAAAAGAAGAAAAAAATCTTCAATGATCCATTAAAGATATTACTAATACAGTAGGAAGATTACCATAAACTCTACATATACCTTTAACTCCAGAATAAAAAAAAAAAAAAAAAAAATTGTTTGTCTGTTTTCCTAATTTTCCTGGGGTTCATTTAGACAAAAAAAAAAAACAAAACAAACAAACAAAAAAAAAAACAGAATCACATGGAAATATTAATATAAATATGATAGCAAAAATAAGCTGCAAAATTTTTTTTAAAATTACCTTTAGATCTACTTACCCAAGCACCCAATGGATCTTCCATTGCATAGCCTTTAATAAGTATTGGGTTATTACAATAAAAATGGGAATTTAAGCAGAATTTAGGGTGCTGGTGGAGAAAGCACCAGGTGAGGTCTGTGGGCTTTGCTTTGCAGACAGTAGGACCAGACCATCATCATTGTTGCTTCTGGCCTAAAATCCAACAGCCAATGAATCACAGTTAAGGTGCTGCTGCCAAGTCAATTAGCAGCACATAACCCAGAAGAAAGAATTAATTATCACAAATTCACCTTCTGCCTTGACATCTGTGGAACTTTCTATTGGGTCACTTACCTGTGCTGGACTCTTTGGGTGTTTCACCCCAAATCACTTCACCTCTGGATTCAGAAATCCACAGAAAACAAAGACTTTGGCTCTCTAAAATTTGTTAACTTGTATATTTGGCTGACAATAGACAGAGGGTATGTAAGGATTTGACACCAAGTTTTCCTTTCCATAGCTATGGATATGTGGGGCAGGACCAAGTGGGCAGCTCCAGAATCTTTTCTGGACCTCTGAGAGACCTCTCAATTTCTTATTCCAGCATCCAGGAAGAAATTATCCAGTGCTCCTAAGCCTGTGATCTTGATGAAGACAAATGATTATGACTTTTACTATTCACAGTGCCACAACAATGTTTTTATCTTTAAAAGAAGCTCTTGGGGTTTTTTTGGGGTTTTTTGGTTCTTTATGCATTTTGCGCAAAGCTCCCTATGGTGAGCTCAAGCAAAGTGAGGAGCGAGCAGAATATGCAAGGGTTCTGTCCCCTCTCAGATTCAATAAATGGATCTGTAACAGATGGCTAATCACAAAGATAACTGTTAACCAATCCTAGTAATGCTTAGCTCTTCCAGAAACATCATGGAGGGGTATTCTGGCACACGGTGTTCCAGCACTGCCACTGAAGTGAGCCAAACATACTCTGCCCTAGGCTGGTGCAGAGATTGAAAAAGCAGACTAGCTGCTGTCCTGGTGGCTTATTTTGATTCTCTCTACTGCAACCCTTTATCAGCCATGGAGCTTTATTCAAGACCAGCAAGGGCTGATTAATTGGATTTTCTTGGCAGGTAACCTTTCTTACTCTGCCAATTAATCCAGAAGGAAAAAAAAGGGCTACTGATCTCCTGTGAGAAGAAACACCCAAGTGATCAAAGACTGGATTCCCTCTCCCAGCACTCCTGCCAGTGACTGTGTGTGATGCATATGTGAGCCACACTTCTCATGCACCATAAACAGGAACATCATCAGGTTTTTCATTCATCTGGAAGTTCAGCGTGAGTGACAGAGGTCCTGGATAGTCATAAATATAGAACAGATGCCCAATATAATCAAATTTAGCCTGAAAAGTTCTGGCTGAAGAAAGGAAACTTGTGTGGTAAAGGGATATGAAAATCTTTAAAGTGTGTGCTGTGATGGACAGGACAGTGCTTTTCTCTGTGCTCTCTGGCCAATTAGTGTTAAACTCTTTCCTGCAGCTCCCTGTGTTCCATAGGATTATTTCTCCTCTCCTTCCCCTTTTCCTGCTCCCCCAGCTTCTGATCTATTTACAGAGAGTGAAGTGCAGATGGGCACCCTCTTAGGCAGATAGAAATTTCCTGGAGGAGCAGAACAGCCCTTGGATGGCTGCAGAGAAGGTGTGATGCCACACACCATGCATGGCAGGAGCTGAGGGCTGCTGGGGGCTGGATCACATTCCCAGGAACATCCACATCTCCCCAGATGGTTCTGCTCTGGGCGGCTCATATCCCTCTTACCCTTCTCAGTAAATCTACCCTTCAGTCAGTGACTTCTGCATCAGGAGGAGTTGGGGCTGCTGTGAGGGAGCCAAAGCACTTTCAAAGTAAAGGCAGAGATTCTTGCTCTCTGTGTTCCTGTTCCTCTGGAACAGCCATAGGTGTCCCCCTTTCAGCCCTGCATGGCACAGCTGATAAATAGGAATCCTCCTCTCCACCACAGGGCTGCTCATTTACGTGCTGCCTGCCCCAGGGAGCAGATCTGAGCCATCCAATTTGTCCACCTCACTGCACAGGAACCCTGGGCCCTAATATGGCTTTGTGCTCATTCCTGGCAGCTGGGCTCACAAAGGCAGGAGCTGCAGAGAATAAACCAGTGACTGGCTCTGGCTGAGCCCGACATCAAGGAGAGGAGCTGTGCTTTGGATTCTCCCTGGCTGATCTTCAGCTAATGTAAATCAACTTGATTCTGCTGGCATCAGTAGAAACAAGCTGATTCAGGCCATTTATAGTTTCTTCTTGTTTACTTACTGCATCCTAATGACTGCCAGACACAAAAACACCTGACTGAGGACATTAGACACAAAGGATTTATACCCTTAATGTTTTGTTCAGTTAAGACTAACAAAGACAAGGACTTTACCTTCTGATGAGAAAGCCAGGCCCCTGAACACTTAGCACTAATAAGGTGCTTTTCAGCTTCTAAGTGCTTTACAAACATTAATTAATTATTCCTTTCAACAACACTTGGTTATTTTCAGTTACCAGAGTGCATGTTTACCAAGTTAGCTCCATTCGTGCGCAGCACATTGCTGGCAGCAGGCAGGAGCATAAATTGATCTATAACCACATGCTGTAATTTGCAGCAGATTTGCTTCACCAAACACCATCAGTGCAGCTCCAGAAGCAGCTCGGAGGAGTGACCACCCCTCCCCATGTCCTATGGTGGGGATAACCTTTACCTTCCCTGCTACACTGAGCAGAAACAGAGAATCTGTTCGCTGCACAATTTAACTAATTCCATGGAAACATATGTCAAATGGGGGCCTCACACAGCTGCAAGAAAGTAGCAACAAATGTTGCATGTGTCACAAAGAAATACCCATTACACTACAGAGAATGACACAGAGAACAGGCAGATTTCTGCTTAGTGAGATTGCCACGGTGAGGCAGCAGAATTTCCTGCTTGTGACAGTTATTAAAGATACAAAACATTCCTCATCTGGATCTGGAAGTTGACAACAGCTAAAGAAAAAAAAATCTAACCCAAAAATCAGCCAACCAACTAACGAAAAATAGAGAAACATGATGTAATACCCTACCTAAACCCTAACACGGCTAAGTTCCACTGGAAAAGAAGATGACCAGAAGGCAGGATTAGCCATCATTCACCTTGTTCATATTCAAAGTGCTTTGTCTGCTGGCACACACTGGGAATGTACTGTAGGTCTCTAAACATAAAAAAGAT